TATATAATATGTATATATTTCTTTCACGAGCGCCACTCTCAAACGATTCGAACGGCATCCAGCGGAATCGGGCACGAACTTATGCACTCATCCAATACTTTTGCCCAATTTTTTTAGTTCAAATAGAAGATAATTTAATAGCAAAGCTAGATCACTTTGGTTGTTTTTCGATCGGACAAATATATATATATTTTTTTTTTTTTTGCTATCACTGGCACCGTTTTAATGACCTGTAAAAATGAAAACTCGAGAAAACGCACTGCAAAGTTCTGCCGGAGCACTCGAGCCCGCACGAGACTCGGCCACTAAAACTACCTCTAAAGTAATACTGAAGTGCACTCCAAGTGAGACTCTAAATATAGGGGTTTTTAAGAAAATTTGTTATTTTGATATTAAAAGAAGAATTTTTGAGATAGATGATTGGATGTTTATTTCAATATAGAAAGGAAGATGACTTGGAAAACAATATCAGCCAAAGAGCCGCCACGACCGTATCCTTTTTATGAAATTTGCCACTCACCAAACCGCAACGTGGCTGCTGTATGCCCTCACTAGCTTCACGAATTCCAGCCTTGAGGTTGTGAATCGTTGGTGTGTTGGCGTAGAATTTACCCCCAATGAAATAAGCCGCAAGATATTAAATAACAAGATCACGGTGGCCAAATGCGATCAACTCTTCGAGATTTAACGTGGTCTGGAAAATTTTCCCTTAAAAGATCGACGGTTTCGTTGCTTGTGTGGCAGGTAGCACCGTCTTGTGGAAAGTAAACATTTTCCAGATCAATACCATCCAATTCCGGCCATAAAAAATCATTAATCATCTATCTATGGCGCAATCCGTTCACCGTAACTTTTGCTCCAGCCTGATTTTCGAAAATGTAAAGCCAAAGAAGCCCGCCGGTTCATAAAACGCACCAAACAGTTACACGTTGAGGATGAATAGACTTTCCAAAACAAAACTCTTTTGTAGCCATCTTGACGTAGCCATCGAGGTGGAAATAGTTCTCATCAATTAAGATGATTTTTCGTTGAAATTACTGATAATTTTCATGCATTTCAAGGAGCCAATCGGCAAAGCCACGGCATTTTGTTAACTAAAATTTATAAGCCTTAAGACCCAAGTCTTTATGCAAAAAACGGTGTATTGAAAATTGCGACTTATCTCAACTGCTCCATATTTTCTGCCAATTTCTGCATCGAAGTCCGACAAGCTGCTTCACGACGTACGAAAAATGCTTAAGTTTGACGAACAATCTCTGCCAGGTTTTCACCATTTTTAAGGGTTTTTGTATAATTTCAAAGTTTTTACTTATCAAATGTCTCTTTTGGAAAACACTTTACAATACTGAATACCTTGCCACTGGAGTTCATCTTCATTAGCGTGGGCACCGCTTACGTGATTATAGCCGGTTTTTCTCTTCCTTGCGTAGCACCAGTTTAAAATACTAAGTTAAATCAGGTCATTCTCCAACTAAACCTTTCACTTTCCCTTTAAGGCCTTCAACTTACTCTTAGTCTACCTCCACCAGTGTATACTTTCAAAGCTGTACTCTTATCATCCAACCGCGTTATATAATCAAACCAGTTCATGCGCTGAACTATAGCAATGTCACCGCATAACTCGTATAGCTCAACGCTCCAACGAAACCAGTGGACCGCTACACTTATGTAAAAGATTGACCTTGTTTATTTAGCTCTGCAACTTCTATTATTTTCTCCAGCATCATGCTGAAGAAATCACACTATAAACCTCGTTCGAGACCGAGCGAATCGGGAAGGTTCTTCGCAATTCTAACAGCCCCTTAAAGTGCTGTCGAATACACCTTTTTAAATGGCGAAAAAGTGGTTTTTATCGATTCTTTTTTCACGGGATTTTCTAATATTTTACACATAGGGAATATCGAAAAATCACCTAACCTAAAAATCACCATCAAGTTTTTTTCATATCAGAAAGTTTATGTCTCTAAAGTAATTGGAAATCATAATTTCGTCCAAAAACTCTACACCGGTTAGAAATTAAAAATAATAATTTGATATATTTAACCTAGAAAAATTGCTTTCGTCGCCAAATTTTTATTTCTATTGAGTTTATAGCCTTCAAGTTGAATTTAAGAAGACCTAGTTCACTTCTTTTAGATTGGATTTCCATCCATACTCCTTTTATTTATCATTTCGATTATACTTAGGTTCAATTCTAAAGGAGATTTACCCATACTTTTTCTGACTACCAGCACACAGCACACGCACCTGCCGCTTCCAACTCGGCTTCTTCAGCTTTACCTTTTCACCGCTTCACCGCTCACTTTTATGTACATAAATATTATATTTTATTGAATGTGCCTTATTTACCTAGTTATCATTGTTTTGTTACTTTATATGTGATATATGTTTGTAGTTTTATGCATAATCTTTCGAGAGAATCACACATTAAACTCATTACCACCGCATTACGTTATTAACAGGTTCGCCATCGCCACGTAAGAAGCGCAACAATTCAACACCCGTGAAGAAAAATGCTGCCGAAAAGAAGCAAATACTACAACAACTCGTCTCACCAGCGACAAATGTTGAAAAACCAAAAGTTAGTCTGGGTGAACTGATTAATATGACAGAGAATCGTTTACGTGCCACAACAACGAGCAACGTCGACTCTGAGAGTGATGTTAAGGAGACAACATTCTCAGAGAATTCAGGCTCGCTGACATCGACCAATGTAGCGAATGTAGCACGCACAATTGCCGATCCGAAGCTGGAGAAGAAAGTGACATTCGCGCGCCTGTTGAATAAAGTGTCGGCCGAAATGAGTTCGGGTTCGGATATGGATATTGGACATATGGCGGTGAGTATCAAAAATACCCACGTATATCAAATAATAATCTGTAGACGCAGTAGGTTTTCCTTTTAGCAGATATTCATATACTGTTGTGTTTAACTTAAAATAAACAATTTAAACTCAAACATTTTGCTAGCCAACTAAAGTCTATTTACAATTCTCAGGCGAAAAAGTCGAAATTTTTAAGAGCTCGTGCTCAGGATCCGGCCGAAAGGGAAGCATTTCTATGAACACTTAATACCGAAATAGTTAATTCACTGCACAATTCATTATCAAAACTATGACGTGCTATTTTTTGCACACATCTGTATAAAGTCTAAATTTCCTGTTCATACTTAGAACACTACTAACCTAGAATACTCGGAACTAGAACTATCTCTCCACATAGTATGCGACTCATGATTAAAAACAAATGTTATAGTCTGCGTATACGTCTCTCATTTGGCTACATAAGCTTTGTGTTCATTACGAGCTTAAAGCTCTTTTAATAGTCAGCTTTTACAAAAATACAAAATCATTTATGCAGCCTCTCTTGTAACTTGTAAATGTATAAACATATATATTTTAGATCCACTAATATGTATATTCTTCGTCCTCCTTTCCCTCCATCTTCAAAAAAAAAAAAAAAAACACCACCACTGTGACGCTTTCCATTCATCACTGCACTACCGCCCGTAGAACGCACGTAACTCGAGTGCCCTTAGCCTGCCAACAGATATACAGCTACGCGCCAGTTCGGTGCCACCATCACCGTGCACTAACGACATACGTTCACCGCACAGCACCTCATCGAATCAGGGTAGCGATTCACTATCCAGTTCCGATTTAGCACTAACCGATTTCGGTTTACGTTCTATGCATACGAGTGGCAGTGATATCGGTAGCACAAATCACAATCGCCATTTGCCGCTCGGACTCGCTACGGGTCTAGGTGGCATTGGTGGTGGGGTTAGTTGTGGTGGCGGTGGTTTAATAACACGTAATCGTATCGGCACAAACGCACGTCCGAAAGTCTCCAGTGCCGATTCCATTTTAGCTATGTTCCGCAATCTTGCTTCTTCATCAACAATAAACAATGCAACAACCTCAATGACAACTGCCACCAATAATACCACAAACATCACTGCTAACATAACGCATAGTGCATCTGTGTACGTATCACCATCGACTACACCAATCGCTTCTAGTCCACAAGATGATGCACCCGGTGACGATGAGTCGTCCACTTCGTCTATGCATACGCCGGTTAGCTTCTCGAGTGGTCCACCCGATTCGCCGGTATTCTATCGTCAGACCACTATTGAAGTGCCCGTACTCGATGTTCTTAATGCGCACAAATCCTCCTCAACGCCATCATCATCGAATTCATCAAGTTCAACGAATCTACTTCACCCACCGACAATACTGCTCGAGATACCCAGTAATGGTATAAACAATAAATGTCTATCACCAATACGGGAGATGCCCACACCGATGCCATCGCCAGCACTCACGCCGATCATGCCACGGCCGCAACGTTCGAATAGTCCGATATTTCAAGATGATCCGTTATCGGGCTGCGATTACAGTGATGATGAGCAGAAGAGCATACGCAGTGACGGCAGTGATGAGCAAATGTCGGTGAGTAAATTTTGAATAAATTTTTCAAATCGAGAATTTCATTAAAGTGTTTTTATATATTTTTGTATCTAAGTAGTGAGGCGCTGCGATTTTCATGCCTTGGAGTGTTTTAGATTTACATTTTCTTGAAACTCGCAGGGAGAGTAGTAAGTCGAAATACGTCCAATGAAAACTGTCTTAGTTCAGCTGTTCTTCAAAGAATATAAACATAAATAGGTTTCCAATTAACCACTTTCTAATTTTTGTTCAGTCCTCTCTAAATCGTCAACTCACTGCTTTCAGATTCCTTTAGTTTAACAGTTGTCGTCCGATATGCATGGATATAAATGCATATTCACCCCATTATTCTATGGAGTTCGATTAAAAGAAGTCGAATTAGAGCACAGGCCTTTCTCATCCCTCTAAAAAAACCATGATAACTCTTTTCTCTCTAAAGTTGATGGTAGAGTTTTAACTTAGGTAGGTGGACAGGTTGAAGTGGTTGCCAGGTATATGCTTACTTAAGGCACCAAACATACCCATTGTCATGCCACTGAGGAAGCTAATTACCTCCGCAATCTCGCACAAGTCTAGTCAAGGTTGTCGCCCCTAGAGACTTTCTTTCAAGTTCTATGCAGAAGTTGTTAGAAGCTACAACCTACCTCTCTGCTTGCCTGCCCAATAGAACATGCCCTATAAGACGACATTCGAGTATACTGTATATAATAGGCACTTTGTAACCGTTGAAGGGATTTTCGGCCGAGCTCCGCCTCCAATTTGTGGGTTGCATCTTGATGTTTTTCCTACCAATGGAGGGACTTACAGCTTATTTTGAGCCGCCTCCGAAGGGCTGATGGATTTTTGTGAAAATCTTTTTATTTCATGTCAATAATAAACTCGGGGGACTTGACATGGTTTGCCAAGAGGCAACCGCAATTTGTAGAATTAGTTTTCTATAATTTTGAATGTTGGTCAAACGTGGCCTCAAACCCTGGCCTTAAGAATGGCAGTAGGTAGTGTTATCCACTCGACTATTGCAACAGCCAAGAAAACCTTTGGTTGTAGATATATCCTTCCTTTTTAGCGCGATAAGGGCGACCGAAACTGGTTACATTGTTCCGGTTATATTACACGCATTGAGATTTCTCCATCTTGAGTCGCATAGCCAAACCTTTCTTTGAAGGTGAAATCAGAAGAGAAGTGCCCTTCCTTGCAAGCTCACCCACCCGCCACATCATTACTCTGTATACAGGCATACCTAGCAGATTGGAAATAAGTTTCAGCGTTTCATGAATTTACTTTTAAACTCCCAAATTCACGAATTTTCCAGATATTTTAAGATATTATAAATTACTGTATATTTAAGTTTACGTTACATATATAACATTTTAAGACTTATTTATCAGGTTACACATTTTTTCTTAATACAAAATAAAATCAACGCAGATTGACTCAGATGATGGTATAATAATACAATTTGGACGTAAAAACCACAGATGGTTTAGCTGAGAGCCAGTACAATGTCTGCTACTATGTAAAATTATTATTTTATTATTAATTATTAAGCTATAATAGTTAATTGTCATGTGCTTTATGGTAGTTTTGGCTAGACCCTTCACATTCAAAAAAAAAAATTAACATTCAATTAATATTAGTTGAATTGAATTGAGTTGATGCGACTGTTGGCCAGAGACCAATGTACTTGGACGAATAGGTCCATTGTGATACCGCTATTAGGCTCCTGACTTCACCTTCTCAAATGTTCAGCTGGCTCAAAGAAGTGTTTTCCGAGGAAGAGAGAGGCTGCAAAAATTATTAAAGTGGTAACCCATTCTTTTCTGGTGATACAGACCTCTCATTACACCTATCATTATGCTAATGGAGCAACTGTCTAGAAGGAAGTGATATCTTTTCACATCCTCTTTTAGCCACAGCTGTCTGGTCATGTTGCACGTGAACTCATTCAGCCATCTAGTGTTTGCTTTTACGGCAAATGCCAGTCTTGGTATTTACTTTGACGTGAATACAGGTTAATCTGCTTCATATGCATGTTTTATTGTGGATAGAAGGGTTCCTTCCTCTCATTTAGATTGATTTTACATTTTAGAGCCACTTTTGATGTTTTACTTTTACATTGCATACTGATTGTCCAGCTACTTTGGATTGGAGCAGCCACTTGGCGACTTTCATGCTTACAAAGAGCCCTCTTTGGAAGGCACCATAGGGGTAGGGGGTAGTCTCATTCTCATATTTGTTAATAGCATCGGAGAGTGGATTCTACATCCCACTTTTTCTTCGAGCTTTGAGCAGTCTATAAAGTTGGCTATTGCTCTCTTATCAAGGGCATTTGTGTTTTTTCATTTGTTCCTTTTTGGGATTCTTGTGGAAAAAAAATTAGAGAATGACACAGACCATTCTTTGAGACTTATCAAAGAGATAATATCTTTGTGCGCCCCGTACTGAAATTCCACAAAAATTTGGTTGGGTTCAATCTGATTGCGTTGCAGCTTGCTTGTAAATTGTCGTTCAAATCCAGGGGATAGAGGCTGAGGAGAGTTAGCAGTGCTTTTGAGGAAGCCATTGAAAGTCCTCCTTTTAAGAATATAGCTGCCGCCCGTTAGTAATAAGGAACCAAAATTAAATTCCTTTACTAAATTTATATAAAAAAGGAACAAAATTAAACTTTTCTTGATACATGGAACTTGATGCCTGTTGTTAACTAATTTGAGGTCGCCAATTTCAAGTCTACCCTTTTTCCTTAGACAATCTTTGTTTTTACAATGCAGCCATCAGACATGTCCAATTCTCAAAACAAATGTCATAAAATTTATTTTTAACAATTTCCCCGTAGAGAAAGATCTGTAAAAATTATGCCAACTTTTGCTCTCATATCTGTGGTAAATATTTGTTTAGAAATCCCATTCCAAAAGTGTTGTAATAAAAAAAATAGTATTTTTATTACTTTTTACTCCCCTTTGGCGGTCCGTAAACGTTGAGGCGTAGGCGCCTTGTTATTTCTGATTTCATACTGAGCTGTTTTTTATATCAGAAATACATTCAGAGGCCTTGAGGTTCCCTGTCCGAGGGCGACCACTTCTCCACCCCCTTCTTTGCCTCATCTTCAATTGAGACCCGAAGAGATAGTCATCTGAAGTTTCTATGGATACTTCAATACAACCCATTTAAATGAGGCAGGCAGTTTCTACGTGGCGTTGGCCGTGTGTGGTCTGGTGTTGTTGTGTCAGCATGCCACCTTTCTTATATTTATAGCTCTATCATCATATGTAGTTGTGAACGCATTTTTAATCTGAAACTGAAGTTTTCTCTTTCAAACGAAATAACGGTTTATGGCGTGTATTTCGCATGCAGCGGCAGATACTGATTGACACTGTTAACGAAGCGCACTGACGCGTAAACAGTTCTCAATATACTGGCGTCGAACTGGTCTTCCTGCAAAGGGGAGAAGTCTGACTACCAACTGCCAACATGAAGAGAATAAAATCCCTCCGATTAAGAGATACCCAGTGCACTTATTTTTTGTGTATGCATCGCATAAAGTTCTTTCCGGTAGGAACTCGGATAAAAACTACAAGAGAAGTTCAAACATCTCTGAGAGTAAGAACGTGTTTTTAGAAAACGCCACAGAAATATTTCATTTATGTGTGTACCGTAGACGTAGATTTTTGGAAACATTTATAAACTCTCCACAATCAGATGTTTCCCCCTGCTAATGTTGCATTTGTTTTTTGTTTTTTTTTTTTTAATTTTTCAAAAAAATTTGTCCAAGGAGAAGATTGTACTGGACCTACATACGGGTAAAACACACGTAATTATCGATAGTGATGTGGAGACCACACCGACTGACACGGCAACGACTTCGATAGCAGGTCAGCATAGATCAGCGGATTTACTGAATAAATTACCGCTTTTACGATTCTCACCACCAACGCCCACAACAAGCGGTCTGCATCCACCTAACACTAATACAACCAATACAGGCGCCATGGCGTTGAAGCCACCAGCGATTGTAATCGATGTAGAGCCACCAACACCAGAGGAGAAAACACAGCGACCACGCGATCTCATAATACCCACACTGACTGTGGAGCATCCGAGTCCAACGAAGAATAGACATCCGATGATCATATTTCCCGGCTCACCGCCGCCGCAACGAGCCAGCATAGGTGAAACCAGTTTTATGTTTCCAAATAAGCAACAACAGAAAAGGTATATAAGTAGTGCACATTGTGTTTCTTTGCGTTAATTCACGTTTTTTTTTTTTGTTGTTGTTCTCTCTTGACTTATGGATATGAGATATTTTTTTATCATTTTACACTAATATATTTAATATATATATATATGTATATATGTAGTTGTTTATTTACGTATGTAGCTTCATTTAGGCCTTTCAGTTCCTCACCTGTGTGTACATATATGTATGAGTGTGCGTGTGTGCATATGTATTTGCGAAGGCACCACACTAAATCACCTAGACGTTCATAGTTTATCGTTTAACTGAGCTGGTTGCCAAACAGTTATTTAAATTTAAAACAAAAACAATAATAATAAGAATTTGTATTTCCTTAACTAATCCCACAGACTGCTAAAGCAATTTGAGAAACCGAACTCGCTCGAATTTCCATTTGTACCACCAATGATTACCGTCACTTCCAACATGAGTGAACTGGAATCGGACACGGAGCCGTTATCACCCGCCACGAAAACCGGCAACCCAGGTGGCTTAATGCCACCCAATCCGGTTGGTATGTGCTACCTGAGTCCGTTCACCATGTGCAGTCGTGCCGATCGCACTATATCTGAAAGTAATCTCAGTTCTTCCGGCTATTCGAGCATGGCGAGCCCGGGTCCGAGCCGCTGTGGCTCGAGTAATCCATTATGTCCCGGCGAAATGGATGAGCCAGGCAGCGGTCATTCAGGTGCTGGTCTCTCATTGCATTTAAACTTACTGAACAGACGGAAAAACTCGGCTTTAGCCAGCTGCAAAGAGAACATAAGCAACGGTAAGAGCGCAGGTACTGAATCAGGCGCGTCAGGTAGTAGCACCGATCAATTGCATAGACCACGCTCGGATTCTGAAACTTTCTCTGACGAAATAATACTGGAGTCAAACGACGAAGGTATTGGCACCGATCACGTCGATGAGAAATTGGATGACAGTCGCTTGAGTAGCAATCGCTTCAAAACTCTAGGCGCCTACATGGCCGAACACGTACTCATCGAGGTGGATGAACCACAGCAGGCGGCAAGTACGAGCGTCAACGCCGCCGTCAGTAGCACCAGCCTAGGCAATCAAATGGCACAACTACAACTGCCTTCCATTGTGATACAAATCGATGGCAATGAAAAGGGTCTATCGCCCGTCTCCTCACGTTCGGAGAGTCCGCTAAGTGAACGCGCTAGCATGGGTCGCTTTTCGCCACACTTCTATGGTCGCAAAGATCAATTGCCATTTACCGACTCTGATGGTCTTTACGACTTTCCATCATCGGATGGTAAGGGCGGCTCGTTCACCCATCAACGTCGTAGCAGTAGTAAGAAACGTGAACGAAAATCATCTAAATGTTCGGCCACACAATCACCGACTAAACAACAACTCGACATACCCAGCAAAGAGTGTTTGACCGCATCGACAACCACACCAAGCAGTAGTACGCATACATGTAGTAAACATTGCTTATCACATCATCATCCTTGCCCAGTATCAACGGTTACCACACGTAAAAGTCCGAAGAGACGTGTGAATAGCAGACCGCCAGTGGCGAGCAGCTCTTCCTCATCGGAGAGCTTAGTTTCGCCAAAAGAGTTGGCAGCCTCGCGCCCACTACCACGGCGTAAGTTGACAGCTTCGCGTAGATTTAGAGTTGTGACCCTTAAACTTTTTTTTGCCTCATGTTTTTCAGGTCTCAATTCACCAAATCGTGAAAAACGGCCACGGAAACAAGAGAGCCTGAGCGAAGAAGAGGTGGCCGATGTACGTAAATTTATCTTATTTACATAAAAATAATTACTTATGTGTATTTCATTTTATTCCATTATTTCAAAGGCTTTGCTGCGTCGCATATCACCTAGCATTGTGAAGGAAGATACCGAGACAGTCAAACCGAAATGTAAAATTAATCGTTTGCGTGCAATTGGAAATCAAATAAGGTAAAGTACTCACTTTTTAGACCGCTTTACTGTCTATATATTCATTAGTAAGAAAACATTTTCCCAAGATCCTACGATGTCTTGAGATCAAAGGCGCCTTCAGATGTATTATAATAAAATAGAAGGGTTTTGCCTATCAATTTTGCATCCTCTAACGATTGTAATATCCGAGCTTCAGCTTATAAGATGCCAAAAAGAATGAGCATTGGTGTTTTGAGAGCATACTGTTTGCTATAAAACCTGATTTTCTTAACGAACCATGAACTTCGAAGCTACCTTAGCTCCAGCTGAGAATAACTGAAGTGAGCTAGAGCGGTGATCTAAAGGTCTGGACCCTCAGTTGATTGCCAAAACTAACATATGACCACCAATAAGTCAATTTTGTGGACTAGTTTCCCAAAAGACTCGTAGAGGGCAAGCAGTCTTTGTTAACTCTTCCTTTAGAGAAGAGACTAAGTTTTAACTTAACCAATTATACTTGATGTTAAGCTTAAACCTTGGCACAACTTAGGTCTGGATACTGTAGCAGGTTATACTCTTACCTATCCAGACTCGACTCCAGCATATCCAAAATATGCCCAGCATGTGGAGAGTCTCCGCACGACACTAACCATCTCTTCATATACCCCCATGAACCGACTCATCTAATCCCCCTCTTCCTTTGGTCCAATCCCGTAGAAACAGCTTGTTTCCTGTACCTCCCATTAGATGACTTTGGCGACTTAGATTAGTGAAACCTTTACCTAAGCGTTGTTAGCGAACCGTTACAACAACAACATGTTAAGCTTAACCTGCGTCCGTAGTTATTACTTCTAACTTGGAGTAGTTGAGACGGCTACTAACACTAACAGCCTAATGAGCCCCCTTTTTGCGATTTTTTAGAGCCTGAATCTAAAATGGGACTTGTGGAACAGCAGTTCCTCTGGTAGAGAACGGAAATGAAAGAAATAAGTTTGGAAAGGTCTCTGCTCCATCCGGAACACCGTAGCATTACGGCAGTCACATGACACCAAACATTTTCTACTAGCCAGATCGAGTTCAGATTGAATGTACCTCGTTAGATGACTTTCAGAGGAGTACAACTGTTGTTTGATGAAGTATTTGATTGAAGTATTGTACCTTTCCAATTTCATCCCAGAACCGAGTTTCAGACGTCTTAACACAACCAATAAGATTTCAGTGGATAAATTAGACATTCCTTTATTTTTGGGTTACAGTTCAACACAGCTCATTTTAATACTGCTTATATGGGACGTTTTGTCGTTGGCACTCCGTCATTGTGGTCTAGCACCAAAGGAGTCTTACATTCTTTTTTTCTTCAAATCATTCTTGCTCATCTTCGCTTATCTTAAGCTGCAAATATGGTGAAGGATGTGTCGTCTCAACCGACTGTAGACTGGACACTCGCAAAGGTAGTATTCCACGGCTCCCTCATCTTGCTTGCACGCTCTCCACGCAGCCGATTCCACAATAATTGAGCGGTACGCTGTACTCTAGAAACTAAACGTCCACAGCTTTAGACTCTAGGTGGTTCTCGTACATTCACTTGCAACTGCTGCAAGAGATTTAATATGTCACCTATTCTTTTATGTCACTCCACATGTTAGTATGAGCCACACAACACTTTTGTAAAGCTAATACACCATTTAGGGCCGTAGCATCCATTTGGAACAATGCTCCAGAGGTAATCCCAATTTTTATCACTTCACATCCGATGTACTTTGCTGATGCGCTGCGACGATTTGCTGCTGAATACAACGTTAAGCACCCAGAATCATAGGCACTGCTGGGTCAGAGAAGTGCTTACTACTCACCTCACGCTTAACCCGCAGCTTTACGCCAATATGTAAAGTAGTAACCTTCAACATGTAATCCCCACCATAGCTTCGATTTAATTATTTTGATTCATTCTCTATTGTATAGTTCCGTCCCTCATAGCTTTAAGATGACAGTTACTTGATTGGGGCATGCACTGGAGTTGGGCTCGAAGGTTTCTATGTGTGCTATTGGCAATTGAGATTAAATATCCCTTGGGTCTCTGTTATGTCGTTATGGGTAAACTTTAAGTGGAGAGGTTTCTCCGTTGTTTCCAATCTCTTGTTGTTCCTGTAGTAACATTGTTATGATTACTCTTTGCTCCTCGCGCTTTGTCGGTGTTCCATTGGTGATGTAGCCTCCGATTAAACTGTTTTGAAAGAGTGGAGGAAGTTCTCTCTGGGTCCATTGCTTTAGACAGATTGAGGAGATACCCTTCCTACACAGCAGCTCTGCCCCATCACCTTCTAGAGGGAAATCTCATGAAATTTCATCCAAAACTTTTTATTAAAATCTTGCATTAAAAGGATATATGTGGAATGCTCTACTGTTTGATAGTGTGAATCTCGTTGTTAAGAATTCCATAATCAAAATACTATCAAACTCGACACTCAATAGACTCGCTTCTAAATTCTTTGATTCTTTCTTAAAAATAGATTTCTGCGTCGCCTAAAGAAATCCATAAAGACACGTGAACGTTTAGCCTCACCATCGGATAGTTGTCCCGAAGAGAATACCGACGATATGGACTCACCACAGGCGACATCACCGCTGCTACAACCGCAATCGCCCAGTAAGACACGCATTGCGTTGTGTAGGCAAAAACGTTTGCCTAGCGGTACATATGGTATTACAGCAGCGGCACTCAACTCAAGCAATTGGAAGGGTATGGATCGTAGTCTAATCGGTGATGATCTGAATAGTGATTGAAGTAAGAAATTTCAAAAGAGAAAAAAAACAAAAAACAACAACAACAACAGAGACACACTTAATAAAATAAGGTAACAAGCAACAAGCGAACTAAAGACAAAGCGAAAGGCTGAAATTTACGAATATTACGTAATATTAAATAGTACTTTTACACTTATATTTGTGCATAGTATAGACATACATACACGTATATACATACTTGCATACATACATATATCGATATGCGCTTAAGTTGATATGCATGAATAGTTTAAATTTGTATAGGTTGTTTTGATGAATAGAAAAAAAAAAATATATATATAAGTAGGACAAAAATTCATACTAGTACATATATAAATATATACATATATAAATATATGTATATAAACATATGTAGTTATTAAAATTAGTTAAATATGGAATTGATTTTTCGTGAATGTAATAGAATATTAAGCAAATAGTTGTATTTATATATACACACATACATATATGTATATAATATAGATATTTATTTAAAAATACATATATACGAGGAAAGTATAATTACGAAAGATGCAAATTAGCTGCGCTCATCCCTTGAAACCAAACGCATACACACAATTTTATGATTTAATAATGCAAGTAAATACAAGTGTATTCATATACACATATACATATGTATATGTATATACGTTCTTACATGCATATACTATGTTATATGAACTTGTTACCTGTGTTTCTTAACGGTAATGAAAACAATAGTTCAACACCTAAACCCACTTGTAGTTATGTACATTTGTATGCAAAGCAATAGTATTATTAAAATACACACACACATACATACATGTATTCTAAATCCCCTGTGAACCACATCTGGAAACTGCAAATAATGAAAAAGAGAAGGAAATATACATACATACTTATGTATGCATATTAGAACGAAAAATATATTTTACTATATCAAAGTGTAAAACTATGTACATACACATGTTTATATGTATATACGTATTTATAGAGTATATGTATATAATTCATTGAAATTTAAAATATAACTTATAGTTTTAATTATATTGTACATACGTGTATAGCGACATATATTGTATATGTATATATACATATACATATAACATATACATATGTATGTATATTAAATTAGATGTAATAGGTGAAATGTGCTCAACAATTTGCGCTGTGTTAATTTTGTTTGTTGACGATAAAAGAAAACTAACACAAAACAAAACGAAACAAAATTAAACAAAAAATATTAAGTAAAAAATATTAATCATTTCGGTCGTATAGTTGAAATTCAAAACTGTTAATTACATACCTATCCACAAACATACATACATAAATATGTACATGAAGAAGAAAGAAGTTTCCTATTGGCATAAAAATATTTATTTTAAATTCATCTCTAAACAATTCTTGCATCAGTCAGTCGATACATATTTTTTACAGTTAAATAATATTATTTTTTACAAAAAAAAAATCGTTTTATTTTTTTTTTATATGTTTGGTAATAATAATTTAATTGAGTAAAATTATTTTAAAATTTCGCAAAAATTATACTTTTATCGAAGATCAGTTAAAAAAGTAAATATATTTCTAATGATTGCCCTATTTTCGGCCGAGCTCCCCCTCCAATTTGCGGTGTGCGTCTAAACGTTTTTTCTCCGAACAGCCGATGGATTTTGAAGAGGAGCACGTTCGTGCCCCTGCCGGGGGCCAATCGCAATTAGAAAATTCATTTTTTATAATTTCTTGAACACAGGTTATTCATCACGGTAGTACGCACTGCTAACAGCCTTTCGTATTATCTAACTTTAAATATAATACTAGAGTTTCAAGCTATAGAAATTTTTATTTAAAATTAAATAATATATATATTCTTTTAATTTAAACATTTTCGAACACTAAAATTAAAACAAAAAAATCAATTCTTTCGATATTGAACTATTCAATCAAATTCAAAAAAAATCCAATTTGAAGATGATTTTAATGATTTTAAAGAAGTACAATGGAAGCCTTCGAAATGTCATAGTCAAAATGTTAAGCCGATTTAAGGATAATAGAAGAAGAAAGAATGTTTTCAGCTATTCGAAAATCTTTATACCATTCATGAATAAAGAAAAATTTATTACTGAATATTATATACAGGCTCTAGGTGTTTTTATTACGGTTTTTTTTTTGCCTAAAACGTCGCACAGAAACCTATCGGTTGTATGCATGGTAGAGTCCTCTGATTCATCCACCGATTTCAAAGAATTTCGGTGTCAGCGTTTATTAGTAAATACGAATGTAAAATACCAAATTTCATGCTCTTACATTGCTTTGTTGTTGGAATCTGAATATCATATCTGAAGATATCGATTTGGGGTAACTGGATGTTATAGTCATCCGATTTCAATATGTGTGTAGAATACCATTCCTCAAGCTTTTAAATGATTTTTTTTTCATATCTGAAATTTCGATCGTATATATACTATAGTGATGTGTAAATGTGTCAGTGCATTTGTGTACAAGTTTGTTTGAAATAACCCAAAAACTAATGGCCTATCTTGTGTAAGTCCCTCTATTTGGGACAAAGCTCAATTAACTCAACTCGTCATTCTGGATCGGTATGAATTTTGATGATTCTGTCTTTAGTCCTTCTGGTACTTTCATACCTCGGGCCAAAATTAATATTTATGAAAATTGTTATAAATAATATTATATATGTATTTTATATCAAATTAATCTAACACAAACAAAAAAAATGCCTACCTTTGAGCGAAATATTTTATATATATTTTTTGCTTTAAGCTTTTATTTACACACATTTCTACCAGGTAAAAAAATAATAATAATAGAAGTGATTTTGATTTTACTCAAAATTTATTTACACTTTTTTTGGTTAATTTTAAACACTTTGGTAAATTTTTTGCTCTTTTCCTTCAAGATAATTTATTCTCTGTGATATGTAAAATGGCCTAATACGAATATTTGCGATATTATATATATAAATATATATAAATTTATGAATTAGCGCTTATGCATGCCCTTGATTTCAAAAGCTATTTGTCTATGTCACACAGGACATCTAATTAAGGTAATAATAAGAGAAAATACTTCTCTTGCAACTGGAAATTTCTAAATAGATTTTATTTTGACTTTTTATGCCTTTTTAAAAGATTTAGAGAGCAATGGAATTTGTAGCATTAGAAAATATGCTCTGAAAAATATTTAATTTAAAAAATTGCCCTGAAGTGTGCTCCGGTAACCCGAGTGTTTTATTTGACTTTAATTTTATTTTTTTGTATTTTATTTTATTTTATTTTATTATTTTTATTTTACATTATTTTACTTTATTTTGTTCTATTATTATTTTTTTTATTTTACAGAAGTGAAATTTCAATTTCAATTACTTATTTTATTATTTTATAATATTCATATTATTTAAAATTAATTCTAACTTTTAATTTATTTTTCATTTTTTATTTATTTTCACTTATTTAAAGTTATTATTACAATTATTAGTAATACTACGTCTTCTAGCTGTGAATTTAAATTTTTTATTTTTATTTTATTATCAAATTATTATATTCTTTTCTTTTACTCATTCATCCTTCATAATAGACAAATGTTGAAAAAAATCAAGCAAAAGCAATATTAATTGTAAATTATTTAACGAAATTAACGACTTAAATTTAATATAAATAACTTGACGTAGAAAAGTCGGCGGAAAAGAAATCATAAATCGAAAATTAATAAAAATATTGTAATTACATAACTGCATATATTTATATACCAAATAAATATATGCATAAGCTAAGCACAAAAATAAAGTCAGCTTGACATTCACCTGTGTATGTATGTACATAGTTATGTAGATATATTGTAGATATAACGGTTAATAATAAAATATATTATTCCAATAACTTAAATACGTTGGCTAGCCAATCAAAGCTTAATGGTAAAAATATTATGACGGTAAAATTTTAAACTTAGATGCGTCATAAGCTCCCTGAGTTAGCTTTAAAGTAAATATCTTTAAATTATTTGATGGGGAAAAATCGCATATTTTAAACTGTTAATTGTTTACACCTTTTTATTCAACTCAAATGTGGTGTATTTTGTTTTATTTTTCTTCCCCCTCATTGCCACATTTCAATCATATTATTTTCATTTATCTAGACAGCCGTAAATTTAGCAATAGCCACTTAATAAAAATGAATTAAAAATTAATTTAAACAAAACGTGAAATTGTAACAAAATTTATAATAAATATTAAAAAAAAATTAAAAATAATATTGAAAATAAAAATGAAACTATTCTGAAATTAAAATAAAGTTTTTATTAAAATATTGAAATAGAAATAAAAATGAAAAATATTAATAAAAATAAAATTTAAAATTAAATCAATGTAAAATTAAAATAAAATTTATATTAATAATTCAAATGAAAATAAAACTAAATGAATAATTATAAAAATTAAATAGAAAAAAAATTAAAAAAATAACGAAGTGAAATTAGTAATGAAAATAAAATATGTATTAAAAATTAAAACTAAACTAAAAAATACAACTAAAAAATACAACTAAAATAAATATAAGTGAAAAATAATACAAATAAAGCATGAAAACAAAAGTAAAAATAAAAATAAATAATATCAGTAAAATTTAAAACAACAATAAAATTATTGTGTAATTGAAATAAAATTTATGATAAAAATAAAAAATTAAAAGCTGGAAATACATAAAAAAAAAGCTAGCATATACATAAAAATTTAATTTATGTGAAAGTTAAAAAAAATTGTATCTAGAATTATAATAAAAAAATAATAATAGAAAATAAAAAATGGAAATAATAAAAACAAAAAGTTTTAAATTAATGAGCAATTAAAATGCAGCTTGTTTTGAAAGCTAAAACAATAATTAAAATAAAAGTATTGTGAAATTAGAATAAAATTTACATTAAAAATTAAAATCAAAATAAAAATTGAAAACGAAAATGAGAAAAAAAAACAAAAATTCAAATAAAACTAAAAAAGCTAAAAACAAAAATTAAAATGAATGTTCAAAAAAAAAATCCTAAAAATAAAATACATTTCTCTTCGCGTTCAGATTTTAAAGTTAGGCAAACTATTTGATGATGGCTTATTGTATTGAGACTGATTTTATAAAAATAAATTAAATTAGGATAACATAAGTAAAAATGCATAAATCTAACTAACAAAATGAGCAAAGTAAAATTAGAAAGTTTTTAAATAAAAAATATATATTAAACTGAAATAAATGTGAATAGTTGTGAAAATAATGCAATAGTACGAGTATTTATGGTAAATTAGTGTTTAGAAAATTGCGTTTAGCAACAAAT